AATAAATGACAATTGCTGTGTGGTTGGGCTTCTCTTTACTTAAATAAAATACAACTCAGCACGTACATCAAGGAGAGTGGCTGATTGGAATGGCTCTGTACTGGGAAAGTTTATTGGAACGCGCAGTCACTCTAAATGGGTCAACTAATTCAAGGGGGCTGCAATTGTGATTTTCCTGTGTTGAAAATTGTATACCCTACATCCTTTTTTGGTGATTCTCCTACCTGTAATAAATTAATACAATGTATAGGAACATAGTATAAGTAAATTTGCGGGTGGTTGGTGGGTGCTCGGGTGTGGGTTGCTCTTTCTTTCCTCCTATTAAACATCTACCGTCCTGATCTCTCCTCTTTTTGTGTTTGTAACTTTTATAACACCTCTTATTTTCGGCACTTGCATGACCCTATTGTGTTGCCAATGCCGTAAAAACTTATTAAAACTAAACTAAAGAGTAAATTCCCGAGTCCTCCTTTTAGAACGTTTAAACTACGTACGTCCGGGGTCTCCACACTCTTGAGGACCGGTGTCTGTGGTGTGGCGGAAAGTCGCTTCGCTGTCACTCGCATGAGACCCAAGTTCGATCTGCTGGGACGTTGTACATGTATCCCTTTCAGTATGGGTTGGCCCTTACGGACAAGGTCTAAGCTTCCTGAATGGTCAGACTTGTGTCGATGAAGGCGAAAAAAAACTCACATTCTTAAGAAACTCAGGGGTGCCACATTTGAGTCACCACCACGTCAAGCGCAAAAAAACAGAACAAACAGCAACAACAACAACAACAACAATCCTAACAAAACAACACCGCTTTTAATTTATTCAAGAATTAAAGGGGAGTCGAAATTAACTTTACAAGACAAGACTACTCTTGTACATATGTATTCTAAAATAAATGGGGTTTTTTTTTAAGGAAGGATACAAAGCACCTTCGTCGGCGTCGGTGTTGGCATCGTATGGCGTATCATGTAGGCCTATACAAATTAGCCTTCAGCGTGTTCCTTGTAGTGGGTGGATTGTAGGACGCTGAAATGATATTTACCTTACTTTTACTTTTATTTCTTTCGTTCTCTGTTGCCGTTGAGCGTCGAAGGGAGTGTCAATGTTCTTTGGTAGGCCAACTCTGCAGCACTTTCAACTGAGATGTTGTAGTTTCTCAGGGTTCCCTTGACTCCCTGGAACCCATCTTTTGAGTTGCCAACCTCTTTTTTTGTAGTCTGAGCACTTGGTGTTATAGGCTCCCGAGGCTGGCTGACAAGGTGCAATTCGCAGCAAGTGTTCAAACCATTATTCCGTATTCTTCGTTTTTCTATTAAATGCAGGCTGGACTCTGTGCCAACAGTTGCTCTTACATCTTCATTTCTCTGCCTGTCTCTTCTTGTTATGATTATGGTTTGGGAAAACATTTCATCTCGCATGCAGTGATTTTGCTTCCATGGGAGTTATTAAATGTCCAGGTCTGGCATTGATAGCATAAGGGCCCAAGTCCACTGCGACGGACACCAACCGACCCGATTCCGTCCGTCTCTCGGGAAGTCGGTATTTGAAATGGAGCACCGTTTTATTTCCTAAGAAATCAGAGAAAAGTCCGTGTGGCTGTGTCAACAGACACGACACGCCGCGACAAAAGACGTCGGTTGGAAAGCCGTTTGCTCAATATTAGCCGGGCCGGGTCGTGACTTGTGAGCCATAGGCCCTGCCGGAGCTAAAAAAAAAAGTTTAATTTTGAGTTCGGATTAACATTCTAATGTCATATTCGTAATCAGGGCCTCAAAATTAGCAAAGCATACGCGCATACCACCTGGTTTAAATGCATATGAACAATTTTACCAATTTTCCTTTAAAAACCCATTCATTTCTTATTTCCGCCTTGGGTTCATTGACCTCAACTATTTATAGCCCTGTACCGAGGACACAGCCTTGGGATACAGTGTGTGGGATAAGACAGCCAGTAGGCCAACAGACGAGACGTGTCTTGTCCGAACTGGTGGACACACAAGACGGAAACGACCCGACCGATTTTCTTCCTCCCGGCTAAAGATCGGGCCGTGTCCGTCTCAGTGTACCTGTTGGGAAATGTTGGCTAGATATCTGTCGTATAAACAAAAAGCAAGTAGAAAAAAGATCTAGATATCTAGTGCTATATGCAGCTCTTGCCAAAAAGTTTTTCACATCTAGCCTATTTATATTATGCACAGAAACCAGTGCCGAGTTAAAAGGTGAAATCCCCGGAATGCACCACCCTGCACTAGATCTATACAAAAACCGAGCTTCACCACAAAATGGCTTTGATCTGAACAATCTAGCTCCTTTACCTTTTCTCAGATGGAACCATCAAGATAAACGACACTTGGATGTAGAGATACGACAGAGTAAAAACAGAGTGAGAGTGGAGGGTGGTAAAATGCCCGGTAAGTGTCTAGAGGAGAACAGAGGAAGCTTTCTAGCTTACCCATTGACGTTCCACACAACTGCTATTGTCAAGTAAATTGAGACCATCTATCAGTCAAGCCTAATAGATCTAATCTACATCTGGTCAAAGCAGCAAAGAAAGAAGACATCTTCTCATCACATTAACAAACGTGTTGAGTCGGAGGCCATCAATGAGATAAGGCATAAAGAATTAGTATCCCTCTCTAACCAAATCAAGAAAAGTCAAGCTTTGTGAATGGAGTATTTCGGATTTGCAACGGGCAACTCTTTGTTCGGTCCCAACTTCCCTTCTTTGCCCGAGTGTCTTCTCAAGGGCTACCCGATTGGACTGACGGAGCACCCCGCTCTGCCCTCAGTCATGGACTCGTCCAGTGTGGCCGACCCCACGCCCGTAGCAGCAGGACTTCTCGGAGCCGTCTTGGACAGGGCGTCAGTCGCCAGGAACGTCGGCTGTGGTATATTGGCCATGTTCGCTGTCTACGGCGCTTGGAAGGTCAACCTGGGATGGAACCATCACCTCAGGCTGGTGGGTGATTGGCGGGCGCTCTGGTGTGGTTTGATCCTTCTCTCCTATCAACCATCTATCATCCTTATCTCTTCTCCTTTTCCTCTTTGTATGAAACACATCTAATCTTCGGCACTTAGGACACATAGATCTATGACCTATTCATATTGCAAATGCCGTAAAGCTCTTACTAAAACTAAAACTAAAACTAAAACTACAAGCTGGTTGGCATGTCCGTCCATGCTTATATTTTTTTCTAAATTGCACAACTGATTTCAAGGAGGAGGTTGAAAATTACCGGCATGACCAAAGTTTTAAGAAAGATATATATCCGTTTCAATCCCTTCGACACCATTTTTTTATCATTTAAAAAGTGGGCTTTTTCGACACTGTCTGCTGGGGCTAACCCTGTTTGAATGTGATGAATCTGCAACAATCCAGCAGACAGACGGAGATACCCAAAGAAAAAAAATATATATATAACTTTCCCACATGGGAATCGAACTTGCTTTTGTGCATTCAACGACAAAGAGTCCAGCATTATTCACCACATGCGCAAGTGTGCAGGGGTGGAGGTGGGGGTAGGAAAAGCGACAAACCGACAAACGACACCCCCACCCATCCTTTTATTTCTGCAGCCCTTCAATAGCCGCACGAGAAACTGTAAGCGGATCGTTGAAGCAACATCCGGAATTGTTCATTAACTGGTCCTAACGAGGCAATTAGGTTCCCCCCCGAATTTCTCATGCGAAGATCCCAGGGCGCTCATTGCTTGACGAGTAATGCATGTCTCTGCGTCTAGCTCACTGCCTCTGCCCTGATGGACGTGGAAGATTTTGGAGCCTTAGAAATGAGAGGGGGGAAGAGACTGCAGAAGCAAAGAATACCTTTTGGGGTAATAGTTGTAAAGCGCGTAGAGCATGCTGTAGATCGTGGCAATGTGCTTTATGCTGGATACATGCAATTAATATTCTTTTAAAATAGTATTATTATGAAAAAGAAAATGTCGACCCCCGTACGTAAAATAAGTTAAAAGCGTCTTTCATTTATGACTTTACAGAGTTCTAAATGTGGCCCCCACATAGATTGTAGTCCCCGGGTGTGCGCAGTAAGCTTAGGTCAGTTTGGTACAGAATGGAGGGCAAGTCGAGTGGAATTTACTCTTCCCCGGTTCTGTCTATCTCTGTTAAAAGTGAATTGCAATTCGCAATACTACTATATACTAATACAGGCGTTCTCAGGAGTGGGGGGGGGGGACAAAAATCTTGGATACGTCTCGAATGTGAAATTGTGATACATGTATATCTGATATTACTGCTTGGCCAAGTGATTTTTATTGCGGGGATTGCGAGTTTGAGTTCTATACTTGAACTAGGACGCTATTTTGAGTAAGTCATTTTCAAAATACGACTTGTCATTTTTTTAAAATGTCATACACCTTATGATGCAGAGATACTGATACTTACTTATTGAATTTTTACACTATACTGCGGAATGAGATTTAACCCCAAGAAGACGCCAAGTCTACTGTCCAGATGCTGCTTTAACTTTGGGGGGTGGGAGGGGGGCGTCTTGTTTCCCTCCTTTATCATTAATATCTTCTTTCCTGTTCTGCAACTCCTCCATTGTGGTCATAGTATTTTGTTTTGGTGATATAAGCTGGAATTTGTAACCAGGGTCTAAGTCTAAGACTGATTTGTTTGAAATGGTAATCAAAGTGAAACAAAGAACCAGATAAAGAAGATGAGGAATACAAGAAAATTGTTGCCACAGTACGAACACAATTTTGAACAAAACTTCTTATCCGAGGCGGCATCACTGACTTGTGACTGAGAAAAAATCCCGAATTTGTACATTGTATTGTATATTCAGCTGCCAAAATTACCGAGAAAATATCTCATAAAATATGTATTCACACTTTGGGCAAAACTTATTTATTATAACTTTGAAAACGTGTGGTGGGAAAATGGTCTCAATTTTTTTTTGGTTTACAATTTTCAGTGAATTTAACGAAGCTGTGAATATACAATCAGAAGGCAAAGAAGCAGAGATGACAATACTGCAGATGGAAGCAGGGATGACAATACTGCAGATATATATTTAACATTATCAATTACGTTTCAAATCTTGCTGTCTTTATCTTGCCTTTCGTGGCCTTGAGCCGCTACGTTAATTATAATGTCATGACCTGGTTATAGAGCGGTGAGAAGTCAAGGAAACAAAAACAGTCATGAGATTATTAGGAACAAGCCCCCCCCCCCCCCTTTTTTTTAAAAGCCTTTTTGGGGGTAGGCTTTACCAGTCTAATTGTTCGCTTACACAATAGCTTGTGGTTGCTTATGACATTGGCCTGAAAGGGGTGAACGGGGTGTTCGTGTGCTCATTGGCGATTTTATGAATGTCTATTTAAATCTATAAGGCCTACGTCTATGGGTAAATTTGACTGCGACGATGTTCCCAAATCATGGAAGGGACGCAGTGATTATTTGATTATGTACACATTTCGCCTCTGTTTATAATATAACCAATCTTTTTATGCTGAAAATGCTCATGTATTTCAAACTTTACTTGCTGCAACAAAGCGGAATATAGGCATTTAAGTTTCTCACAAAATGCACGCTACGCCGTCGATGCTTTTCCTCAAACCTGTCTATATTTTGGCGCACTCTTAATTCTGCGCGTTGTTCACGACCTAGGGGGCTCGTGGTGACCCTGTCCTGGGCCGACCGGACAGGGACAGATGCCGCAGGCGGGAAATGAGTCACAAGTTGATGACGATACACGTCAGCTATGGGGCACAGTCACAACACAGCGCGTGCCTTCTGTGTTTGAAAGTGTTTCGTGGTGGGTGACCACTCTGACCCCCACTTCCCTCAAACACATCCACTCACCCAATTACATACACGCGTGCGCATTCGCACGCACGCACGCACGCACGCACGCACGCACGCACACACACACACAAACACGCACAGAAACACTAACATAAACACACACACATGCACACACACACATGCACACACACATATGCACACACACACACACGCACAAATAAACACACACCTACACTCACATGCACGCACTCACTCTCACGTACACACACACACATACACACACACACACGCACACACACAGGCGTGCGCATACGCACGCACACATGAAAGTGCGGGGAACAAGAGATAAGCCGACAGTAGTTTTTAGAAGAGTGATTGCGGTTTTCTTGAAGCGTGTTCCTAATGTCCCTTTTCCCGTCTGTATTGTCTGGTGCTATTGCTGAAAACGGCCCTAACAATAAATAACATGGCCTAAAAGGTTTATCCTCAAGTTATCCGGACGGGAAATCCATTAGTCACTCAAAGAAGAGCTCCGGCCCGTGCTAGGTGTATTTTTCGGCTTTTTGTGTTGGAAAAAAGTGACACATATTTTACTTTTGTCCATCATTTTAGAATTTTCTTTTTAGTTGACTTGCATAATTTGTTTTGTTATAAAACAAAATTGTATGAGTATCCATGTAAATTCAGCAGAGCTTTCTCAAAGAACAGCTCAAAATGTGTGGCTCCTCTCTGTTTTGTGTTTAGAGAAAGTGCGAGCAGTATCACCGATTCATTTTTTCCCCTCCACTTCGTAGCCTATATTTCCAAAATTCCTCCGAAGCGGAGAACTGTACATGTACATATTTTACTGTCTCCGGTGTAAGAGATTGGGTGAATAATAATATATTCCTTATAGTCTGCAAGGAAGAGCTTGTAGTTTTCGAGGCAACCCATGCCTCCTTGACATAATAACAATATTGAGTATCAGCGCATTCACATTAGAAATGTCGGATAGACTACCACTACCGACCAATACTCTCGTTGACGGCCGATTTCATTTTTCTCGCCCCTCCGTTATTTATGTTGAACGGCAGCGGTAAAATCCCGCCGTAGGCCTATCGTAAGTAGTATTTCAGACTACACGACGTGCTCAAGTTTATATAATTTTATCTTACCGTCAGCTTGTTTCCAATCTTTGTTGGTCTGAAGAAGTGAAAGAGGTTCCCAGTAATGAGAGGTTTCACTGTGGATGCGTGGAGGTATCAAAATGAGTAAAAGTAAATCAACCAAGGGTCGGCAAACTCCGACCCTAAGGCCGGTTATGGCCTTGTGAGGGTTTCCATCCGGCCAAATGCCAATCTACTTATTTATTGTAACGTCCGGCCTAATGGGCTTTGCATTTTACCGTGACTGTCGTATTCGTGCTCATCGTTTCATTCGTTGCAAAAAGACACCCGTATACTAGTTTTGAGCAGAGATCAAAGATGAGAGTCCGACCCAGCTGCCTGCATACTAATCGGTTGTTGTTTTTTTTAATGATTTCGTGTAATCGCCTAGAAATGCTTGATTGGGCGAATAGGCTATAAGCCTAGACCACCTAGATAACCACTAGGCCAAGTCTACTCAACACGATGAGGCTAAAATCTGGAACCTCAACAAGTTTTGCGCACCATTTCTATGGCTCACGATAAGCGCACCCTATCTGTTTTTGTTCCTGAAAGCGTGGTCTTCAAAATGTGAGTCATAATGCGGTGGAATAAAGCGCTCGTCAATTTTTGGGCATGTGAAGTTACTGGAATCATCTTAAAGATTGACCATTAATTGTTTTACTTCCAATTTTTTTAAAATCCTCTAATCGACAATAGAATAGAAGTCGATATTATACTTGCAATCGGAGGTGTGGGTTGCTTAGTTGCCTGGTTTCAGGGGTTAAATAAGCGAAAAAATGGACGCCAAAACTTATGTATCCTTGGAAACAGCAAATTTACATACTTTACTTTTACTTTTATCCGCCGCTTATACCCTTTTGGGTGTCGCGGGAAGAAAGAGACGTCTCTCTGTCGCCAGCCGGAGAGCTTGGGTCAGGGGATGCCGTGGGTGGTTAATGTTTCCCTGACTCCATCTATCTAGGTCTTTCTCGGTCGCCCTCTAGCCTTGTTGACATCGAATTTTTTTTTATGTAGGCACGTTGTGCTGGATGGTGTGTTGGTAATCGTAGTAGATGTCCGAACCGTTTTGATTCTTTTGTGTTGGATGAGATGCATGACATCATTTGTGCCCACCATTTCTCGGATTACAGAGTTTCTAATTTTGACTCGCCTGGTCTTGTTTACTGCTTTTCTAAGGCATCGCATTTCACATGTTATAATTCTTTGCTCCAATGTCTTGTTCGTGGTCCATGTTCGTGGCAAATTTACATGTTTTTCTTTTAATCAACGTTTTTCCGTAAAATTCGTAGGTATGTGTTAAAAAAAGACCCCAACAACATAAAAGGTGCTGAACCAAAAAGCAAAAAAATTAGAAAAATTGTCTGAGGAGTGGAAAAATGCCAGTTTCTTCAATGTTATTATTTTGACGACTGTAAATCGTTTAGTTAGAGCTTGTTGTTGAGAGGGAATTAGCGCTATACAAATGCTATCTATTCTTCTTCTTCTTTTTCTTTTACCTCTTCTTCTTCTTCTTCTTCTTCTTCTTCTTTTTCTTTTTCTTCTTCTTCTTCTTCTTCTTCTTCTTCTTCTTCTTCTTCTTCTTCTTCTTTTTCTTCTTCTCCTTCTTCTTCTTCTCCTTCGATCCATGTGCAACAAAACTAAGACCTTTTTTCTTGGCATCCATGCTTAATCTGTACCTCAACACGTCGACTGGCACTTTCTAGCGTGAAAGCACTTGACGGCCGTTATTGGTCGGCCGTTATATGTCGACCGTTTGACACTTCTGGAGTGAACGCCTCAGTCGTTCTTTGCAGTTTAACTACCAAAATGGAGGTTAATGGAATTGGCCAGCATTGTGGAGCTTGGAATTCTTCCTGCTCTTGGGGCGTTCTTCTTAGCCAGAAAACTATTCCCAAGAGTTGCTCATTCTTCGAAAGTCATAAAGCATAAGATAAGACAAGATAAGATAAGATAACTTTCGTCCTCCATTGCCTTTTCCTGTACTATTTTTCTAGAAATTTACTCCACTACCAATAAAAGTGTGAGCAAGACTGTTTTATAACCGAGACGCCAAACTGTCACCACCTTGGTTTATAGATCTAACCTCTTTAGGCACATCAGGTAAGAGGGAGTTATGGAGTGAAGTCTATTATAGAAGTTAACTCGCCACCATCAACTGGCGCAGGTTGATTCTTGAAAACCTCATGATACATGTTATGCAGTCGAACTTGCTCTAACGGCTACCTGAATACAGGGGCGAAGGCTGACTTGTTTGACAGGGTAACCAAAGCGAAACGGGATCAGATATGGCCTGTAGATATCACACAAGAATCTTACTCGAGGCGGCGACTCTGAGTTGTGAATGAAAACAAATCCGGAATTCATATTGTATGTTCAACCGCCAAAATAATCGGGAAAGTATCTTATTAAATAGTTACAATTAAAATTAAATTTAACTTTAGATGTGAATACATAAACACAAAGCAAAGAAGCAGAGATGTCAGTACTAGATCTATATGTCATAGATCTACCAGTGAGTCTAACTCTTTGGTAGAACATGACAATTATCATTTTTTCAATTTCACATTTGGCTGTTTTTGTTAGCCTTTCGCGGCCAGGAGCTGGTGTCATAATCGAG